AAGCCGCTCACGAGAAAATCGCCGGCGAGTACGAGTTTTTGATGATGGAAAAGGAGAAGCAGGACAGCTTGGAGCGACAGGCGTTTAAGGCGATGGAAGTGCAGTTGAACAGGTATTTTAAAAAGCAACGTTAGCTTCCAAAAAGCTATTTCTAGACTTTCCCGCGAGCGTGAGATGATGGAGAACAAGATGCAAATGATGCAGAATCCGCAGATATTTGCGGAGCAAGAGCAACAGTTGCAGAAGATGAATGCAAAGATTCTGGAGGAGCAGGAGCAGAGTGAGTTCCGATATGATATCGATGAGAGGCTTGAAATTAGATAAAAGGCTGAAAGAGGTTTTGAATCGGCAAAGCGTCGAGATGCAGGCGCAGCGGACGACGCTGGCAGATCAGCGCACGCACATTAATGTGCTAGAAACGGCGTTGACGAATGCACAGGAGAGGATAGCCAGGAAAGAAAAGGTATATTTCAGGGGGTTTTTGCGGTTTAAAGACTGCTAGAACACTGGAACGCACACTGTCACCCCGGAGGGTGCGGCCCCAAGAACGGGGGGGGAGAGGCGCTTGCGGTGGTGCCCCCGTATTGGGCAATGGCCCTCTGGGGTTTGGGGCACCTCTGACTCCCTCCGCACCTGGCCCTTTGGCATAGTGGCTAGCGCATCGGACTGTCAAGCGAACCATCGCGGGTTCGACCCCGGCCAGGTGCGCAACTTTCTTGCTTTCAACGGAATTTCAATGTTCTGACGCTCTGGAAAGGGGTGGGAAGTCGATAATGACTAGATTCCATGCAGAATCGGAAATTTTTCGACGCGTCTTAAAGGGCTGGGCAAGCCAATAATTTTCCTCTTTTTCGATTAAATTAAATTAATCCCCCGAAACATACCGAAAGTTCAGATGCGCGAGAATACTTAACTGGCCTGACAACACGACTTTCCTGGAGGGTCAACTCCACAAAGCATTACTGGAAAAAGTGGTTGGTAGTTTGCCATCCAAAAATCTTTTTATCTGCCAGTTAGAGGTAGTGGTTACGATGGTGAAATTCCAGGAACAAGCCGGAAAGTACGAGGAAGAGCGCGGACGGCTCGAGCGCGAAATCGTGCAGCTGAGAATGCAGCTGACAAAAGACAGCGGCCTAGGTGGCATCAAAATCGGTTCGAGCTCCCGGCACAACCCTGAGGAAAATCCGGATCGTTTCCCAAAAGTGAGAAATCGCTCCTGTTTCTGCCAGGCTTTCAGAAATATCGATAAAGGCCCGGCATAACTTCAACTTTCTAGGTTATCTCGGAAAAGGACAACGCATCCAAACGTTGGAACGAGAAAATCATGGAATTCCAAAGGCGACTCCCACGAAGAGCAGGAGAAGAAGACGTCGGCATTAGCTGCCGTGAGTGGCGGTCTCGAAACGAAAATCAAGCGGTTAGAAGATGAAAGAAAATTGATAGGGTAAGTAAAGAGAAAAAAAATAATCTAAAAATCCTGTGATCGCCGGATAGCCGAGTTGACGGAAGAGCGGGAGCGTTTGAACGAGATTATCGAGGATAGAGGGTACGTTAAAAAACGCGGGAAATCTCGAAATGGTCATAGTAATTCTGCTGATTTTTGGTGGGGATCTTTGCTATCCAAATCTGTTTTTCTAGGTCCGAAGCGGCGCGGCGAAACGGAAATCGAATGGAGGAGATGAGGCAGAAAATTGATGAACGACGGCGACGTGGGCGGAACGAGAATAATAATCGAGGCGAGATGAGCGCATCGTAAGTAACGTTTTTAGGATCTAATCGTAACCAACATGCTTAGAATCCTCGTTGACCATTCCCCGGGTGGTTCCCCGTCACTTCGTACCCCGGTATATGAGGGTCTCGGCTATGATTCTTCTTCTCTTCTTTCACAGGTAGCTATATATAAAAATTACACGGGAAAAGTTAATTCTTCCAGATTTCCAGCTCCAGCCATCTGTCGGGTTCTTCTAATCAATTCGTGTCTTCGTTTAATTCAAAGTAAGTGGCTAGCTTGGCTGGAAAAAGAACGTAATGGTAGCTTGATTCCTAAATCTACCGTAGTCGAGCTTCATTTTTTAAATACATGCTTTGAATCCTTTTTAAAAAACACCCTGCATATAGCCAAATTTTTACCGTAATCGTGGCATACTGTGCTAATATACCTCAGAAACCCTCTAGAAATATACCGTAGCAGTATCTTGCTGGTTGAATTTAGCCTTTAAATTATCTAAGTTCCTACTAGATCAGAATCATACCAAAAACCATACCTTTCAGACAATCCGCCAACCCCTATCAAATGCACAACCTCTCACACGAGGACACCATCCAAGCCGAGAGTGGCCCCGTGTGGAATGTATAGAATTTTCCGTCCACAGTCAGGTTTTGTCTAGTTTTCCAACTGGTTGTCATTTCTTGCCTACGCAATATTTTATATACAAACAAACTTACGCTTAGTGCAACAGACGCAAAAAAAGTTCGCTAGTCTTTTCAACCCCCCCCCCCCCTTTTCTCCTGACCATATTTGTCATTTTTTTTTGTTTTGCGCGACCGGGTGCTATCTATCACAATACGGTATCTACTTTTTCATTGTATGTCCTTTCAGTTCTCTTGATTTTATTGAATTTGTTTGATTTTCTGATGCCAGCGATGCCAAAAATTATTCTACTTTGAATGGTTCTAAAGTGCCGATATTTGTGATTTTTGTTGTAAATAAATCTTAAAATTGTTTGAAAACTGGAAATTCAAATTTCACCCCCAGCAGCGGTCCGATTTGGAAACATTGGTTGAGCCCCGGGGATTAGCGTCTTTTGGGGCGCTGCTTAGAGGCCGGCCCGCCCCACTTTTTAGTTTTTCAGACGTCGCGTGCTCTTGGCGAGACACTTCACTATTGTTTTTTATGTCTCTAGTGCGTCTAAGGGGCTGAGCATTGAAGTTTTTCACGTCTGGCCATCTGTCGGGGCGCACATCTTGTAATATATTTGCTTAAAGTATCCTAATATTTGTAGTGTATCATTTATAGTAAATAATAGTAAAGTGCAGGCCTTAATTTCTCCTTGCCATTGAGAAGGGCAGCTGTGCTTTTAAAATTTTGAGCAGAGGGACGAGCGCTGCTTTGAAAACTCGTCAGAAATTCCTGTTGTTTGGTAAGAGCGGAAAATAGAATGTGCTTTAAAGGGCAGCCTGGCGTTGAAAACAACAAAAGGTACTCCGCTTTTGTGTTGTTTGTGCTTTGATTTTTTCAGCTAAGATACAGGGGGCTTTTTGAATTCGGAATTAGACATGACCAAAATTGCTTTAAGTTTACAAAGGTTTTGCCTAAGCCTACGCCTATGCAAAAATTGATTTTCGTAAGCAGTCGTGGTCCGAAAAATCAAATTCTTTTGAACCATATCTCCTAAGAATCTCTACTTTCGGCATTTGCGTTGTTTGCTTGTTCTGAACACTCATTTTTCCTCATGCAAATCACCCCATTTTGAAAGCCCTAGCCTCCCAGCAATTTGTTTAAATTTGTCGCCATGCGGCCTGTGGAGCCATGAGGAATGGCCGAGTTCGTGGAGGGCAACGCCCGAATTTTACACTGAAAATGTGATGATCCAGCTGGCAGGCCACGGGGAAATGGCTTGTTGTGTGTCCCGGGTCGTGTATTTATGGAGTGTGCCCCGGGGACTTTTCGCCGTTGTTTTGATCGATTTACAACATACTTTCAGTGATTTAAAGCTTTAAAAGCATAGAAAATGATCAAATAAATTTATCTCTTAATTAAATATCTTAAAAAATACCTAAAACCGGTTTGATCGAAAAATTGTGAATTTTTGTGATGTTTCTCATCGCTTGTTTTACGGCCGTTAAGCTTTATTTTTCCGTATATGTCCAGCCAGTTCTCCTTTATATTTTTTTCGTTACAAATCCTTTACTTTCTTTCGTTTTCAAAGCTAGATTACGCGATGATTAAGCCTAAGCCTGCTTCCAAAGCCTAAACTAAGCCTACAAATTCTCTGTCTTCAATGTTTCTTGAATAGCATCTCAGCTCCATTGAACTCATTTTTCTTAAACCTTCCTTCCATCAAGACGGACGACCTGGCCACCGACCGCCTAAAAAAGTGCCCCATCTGTCACCACGGATTCGGGAGGAGGAGGAGGTTGGCCCCCGAAATGGCGTCTGGTCTTCCAAAGAACCTCAGCTGCTCCATTTCTCGTTTTTCCTCCCCTACTTTTTTCGACTTTCGAGCGAGCGGGGCACCCATTTGGGTCGTGGATTTTGGTGGGTCCCCAGGGGGATTGATCCGGTACCTGAGAGGATTTTGCTAGGGGGAACATTTTGGACTTTGGGGTAACACGTCCACTAGACTCTAATGTTTAAGGAATTAATCCGAAACGAACTCGAATTAATACAATATTAAACCAAAGTCATCATCTTTTTTTGACTACAAAACCTGTCCTCAAAAATTTCTGCGATCGTTCCCTTATTTTGTTTTGAGGTTAAGCTCAGCTAAATTAAATTCAACCATTTCTTTGTAACTTTTTATGCAGATCTCATGTCTCTTCCATCTATTGCTTCGCCCTAAAATTGGACCCTCGGCCGTTCGTTTCCCCCCTCTCGTCGCATCAAACTCGATTTTCGGGCCCTCGGCGGGCTATCGGCCTTCAAATATTGGGATGGGCCGCCCGATTCTGTTGCGTGTCGCTATGGAATTTGTTTCTTGTATTTTTTACGAGACCCTGTGTGCTATATTGTTTTTTTTTTGACGGCATACTGGGCTTTTGCAATTTTTGCCAAATTTCTGGAGGCCGGCTTACCCTTTTGGCATAATTGTCTAATTCGTCTGGGGTGAAATGGCCACTGAATACAACATCTTTGTTAAATTTCGAGCGAACTCCGGGTTTTTCACGCATTTTTCTTTTCGTTTAGGTTCTCCTCTCTCTCTCTCTCTCTCTCTCTCTCTCTCTCTCGCTCTCTCTTGCTTTCCCAAGCTCTCGCCTTCTCTGTCACCTCTCGCTCTTTCTCTTTCTCTTTCTCTCTCTTTCTCCCTCTCTCTCTCGCTCTCTCTCTCACTCTCTCTCTCTTTCTGGTGTGAATTTTCTGACCCGATCATTGAAGTTCTGAAGTCTCAACCCGCTGGTTTTTTATGCAGATTGACCGCGTTGGGGTGGAAGGACGGGTGGTCGATGTGCATCCGGCCCCACCGCGAGACCACGCCGGAAACAGGGGAATTCGGGTGAATATCCGCCGCCCTTCCGGATGCGGCCACCAAAAGCCGCGAGACCTCGCAGGCATTATACTAAAGTTTCAGAGGATTCCAGTTTTCAATTTGGATTTCTAATTTTCAAGACGCCTTTTGTGCATTTTGATGGCCTTTAAAGTACCTTGAAAAGAAGGCGGAGACAGATTCTGAGGGGATGCCTAGTCGCTCCGAGTTCTTCGAGTACGTAACCTTCCTATTACCAAATCTTGAAGCAAACCCTCCATCCCTTAAATCTTGTTTGAAGCGACTCCCTTGCCAATTTTCTCGTTTTTCTTGTTTTCGGGGCTACGAGGAAAATTACGAGTTTCTGGAACTCTGCACCAGATACCTTCAAGCCCCAATTTTTTGTTCCAACTTTTCCAAAAAGGGCAGGCTAAATTGCTTACCGTCACTAAACGCATTGAAAATGCATTCAACAAGTTCCATATGCAAAAAGATAATTTATATGCAGCGGAAGTGCACTAATAAGTGAGGTACCACCCAAAAGCTTGTGCGTGAAATTCCGAAGGCTGCTGGATGCCATTCTAACTTTGCAAAAGCACGAACCCCCTCCACCTCAACGCTGCCAAACACGGCCATTTCCGTCCGTCCCGTGGCACTTGCGGTTAGTGGTGGATGGACAAAAGGGGGAATTTCGGGGGTGCATTTTTGGGATTAGTCTGCTGGCCTAAAGGTCTACCAGAACACATCATTTGATCGTTTTTGGGCTGAACTCTGTTCTGTTCTAGGCTAATTTTCATCTGAACCGGCTTGGTTTTTGGAACCGGAATTTTTGATTTTTTATTGATTTGAATTTGATCTCGATTTTCATTAGGTTACTTTAACGCTTTTTATCCGATCTAGGTATTTTAAACATATAATTTAGAAGCCTACAATTTACTTACTCCTGCTACCTTACCTACCTTACACCCGGAAAGAACCCCACTTCCGTCACCTCCTCAAACGCCCGGGGGAACGGCGGAACGCATATTTTTTTGCCCGTTTCCGCCGCTATGTGAACCAATTCGAATGCAATCGTAACCCCCCGGGGTAGACGGATGCCGTTTTAAAAAGTTCTAGCCATTCCGGAACATGAATTTTTGCTTCAGTGGCTTACTGTATTTAATAGCAGCTATCCATATTTTAAATTTACCTAAAGGGGCCGTCAGGCCTAGATTTCGACTGGGTTTTCGGGCCGAAGCTACTCCATGGATTTGGCCGCACCCGCGGCACGCGATGCGGGGGTTAGCGATCCATAACGCAATGGAAAAGCCGGTGGGCGCGTTGCAGTACGTTGCGTGCTCCATAGAAAATCTGTTGCCATGCCTGGCCTGCTTCTATTTTTGGTGGAAACGTTCTTGGAAAGCCAGGAATTTTGCCAAATTCAACTTTTACCACCAAACCACCCGACCACCTACTTTCTGCACTTTAGAGTCCCATCTATCACCGACCCCCATGCTCGGTGGGTCTCTTAAAATCCCTCAAAAACCCAGGGCCACAACCTGCGTCAGGTGGCCCAAGTCGACCCAGTCAGAGTCGTCTTTGATCCCCGATTCTGTTCGACATACCACCCCCCCAGGGGCCAATCACCATTTTTTTCTGGCGGGTTTGGCTGGTCAATACGTCGATTGTCTGGTTTTGTTAAGTCGATCTAATTTGACATTGATGCCTATCAGATCTTCATGAAATTCAGATAGAAAGAGAGCGAGTGACAGAGAGTCCAGTGAGAGAGAGAGTGAGCGTGTGTGAGAGAGACACAGAGAGACAGTGAGAGAGAGAATAGTGAGAGAGTGAGAGTGTGTGAGAGAGCGATATTGCTGGTTAGCTAGATTTGCCAACAAAGTCCAGCTTTTTTCCGCTTCAAAACTTTATATCTTATTTTGCTGATGATATTTTTAGGACCCTTTTTTCTTGCAGCCAATCGCGACATGTTGATTTGCTCATCCCATATCCCCTCTTGCTTCTGCCCTCCCCCTTGTAAGTTTTGGCTATCAGGTTTCTCAGGAAAGTTGCCAACTGTCTTTTGGGCCACCTAGTGATGATATTGGGTTCCACGAAGTGCGAAAAGAGGAGCATCTTTGCTCATTCTTCTTGTCGTTTCCAGCCGCACGTCTTTGTAATTAAAGGGGGTATTGAGGCGCGTGGGTTGGAAGCGGGTGGACACGCGTAATTTCCGGCAGATTTCGATGCTAAATTTTTGACGGGGCTGTTTTGGTTTGGCCATAAACAAATAAAGATTTTTCTCGCTCTTTAGGTCGTTTTTCTTGATCTCTCTCTCTCTCCTTTCTCTCTGCCTCTCTCTCTCTCTCTCCTTTCGTGAGATACAAAACGTACGTGATGTTCTATATATTTTTATGATTTACTTCCGCTCCTGCGTTCTTCTATGTGCTAAAAAATGCCCTAACCTTCTACTTTAGCTCCCAGCCGGTTATAAGCGCCCAACCGGAATGCGCGCATTTTGATGTCGGCGCTCCCACAAAGGCAGGGAACGGCTGAATGAGTTGAGGTAAATCGGCCGAATAACCCGCTTTTTTGGGTTTGCACTATTTTTGTAGCGCTTGATGACCAATCCTTCCATTTCGTTATTTTTAGCAACCACCATTAATGCGCCCAGGAGTGCCATGCCGCTAATGTACCATGCACTCCTTTTGGCTATCGGACTGTTTCGGATAGCGGAGGGGCTGGCGGGTAAGTAAAGGGTTGAAAATTTTTGCGGAATGCCGACTACTCAAAATGCGGACCAGTTGAAATTCTAGTCAATCGAAATGCTGACATGTCGAAATGCGCACAATTTTGAATGCCAACGGGTCAAAATGTCAAAATCCCGACATTTTCGGATACCGAGGGCCATGGCTATCTCACTAATCTGTCTGGAACTGCAATATGCTTTGCCGGCGTCGTTGTCGAGATTTTTGCTTGTCGGCAGCATTTCTATTTTTCCTTTTCTTTTCGATAGTACGGACGTTAGAAATTTACTGTCGACGTTATTCGTGTCGCAATTACTCTTAAAATTGGCGTTTAGACAACGAAATCCCGGAACACTACCAGATTGTCGACCGGATTCTGAAGGGCTACAACCGGGATATGATCCCGAAATTCATGAATCGCAGCGTCGATGTGAAATTCTCGATGGAACTGTATCAGATTATTGAAGTGGTATAAAAATGTTGAACCGCTAAAAATTATCAATACAATGTTTAGAACGAGCCACAACAGTATTTGATGTTGAATTCATGGATTGTTGAGGTTATAAATTTGTATTTTTATGGGATACGATATAGATTTTAAACCATTTTGAAACTATTTTAAAAAACGCAGAAAAGGGTAATGTCGATTAAAAGCAGTTTAAGCTGATGAATTAACTTTAATAAATCTATTACATCGACTTCTTTAGCGCTGGGTCGACGTGATGCTTGGCTGGAATCCAGAAGACTTCGAGGGCACCTCAGAAATCGTGCTTCCACATTCAAAAATCTGGCTTCCGGATACAACGCTTTACAACTCGTACGTCACCTCGTACGGACATTCACTTATTGTTATAGCCTGGTAATGGACGAGGGTGAGACGCGACGTCTTCTGAATGCCAAATTGACCACGATTAACAACGGTACCGGGGCTTACGTTGAGATGCTTTATCCAACGATCTACAAATTGAGTTGTAACCTTGATGTTAGGTGAGGAGGACTTGCAAAATTTAATGATGTGATTTTAGATTCTTCCCGTTTGACGTTCAAAAGTGTAGTTTGACTTTTGGAAGCTGGACGTTCGACAATACCTATATTGATTACCATCCGTATAGTGGAGCCATCGGAACGACGAATTGCATAGAAAATGAGGGATGGAATGTTTTAAGGACTGAAGGTACGTAATTCTCGTGTTTTCGGTGCCATTAATGCGTAAATACCTACGCTAGATCTTCCGAAAAAGTGGTTGCGTATCACCTTTAAAGGTGGGGACCTTTAAAGACCGTCAGAACGATGAAATTTGGTTAAAACAAGAAAGTCGCGCACCAGGCGGGGGTCGACTCGCGACGGTTTGCTCCACAGTCCGACGCGCTAGCCACTATACCACAGGGCCGAGTAGGGAATGGAGTCAAAGGCGCCCCAAACCCGAGAAGGCCTTTGCTCAGTACGGGGCGCCACTAATGACGCCTCTCTCTGCGCGTTCTTGGGGACCTCACCCTCCAGGTGACAGTGTGCGTTCCAGAGTTCTAGCAGTCTTTAAAAACCCCCAATCCCACGCTTTCTTTCAGTCGAACGAAAGGAAAACAAATACGACTGCTGCCCCAATAATTACACCTTACTTACCTTTGCCATCCACATCCAACGGAAACCGCTCTACTACGTTATTAATCTAATTCTACCCACTAGTATTATAACAATCATTTCGATTGTAGGATTCTTCAGGTGAGTTTTATTCCGATAGAGCTAAAAATTTGGCAATTCAGCTCGTCCTCCCCGCACGAAGTGCGGCAGGAGAAAATCACGCTCGGTATCACCACACTGCTCTCAATGTCGATTCTAATTCTGATGGTCTCGGATAAAATGCCTTCCACGTCTTCGTTCATTCCGCTAATCGGTGAGCTGGTCTTTTTGGCTCTCCTTCGCTCTCTCTCTCTCCCTCGCTCTCTCTCTCGCTCTCTCTCTCTCTCTCTCTCGCTCTCTAAAACAGATATTTTCAGGGTGGTTCTATACGGCTATGATCAGTCTCATCTCGGTGGCTACCATTTTTGCCTCGCTAGTCATTTGGATTCAAAAGAAGGTAACGAAACTGCCTTTGTATAAAAACGAAACTTTCTTAGGGAATTGTTGGAACAGCTCCGCCGCCAAAATTAATGTGGTGGGCACGGTTGGTCGGCCGAAGAGTCTATTTGGAGTTGCCGCTCCTTATGAAGCAGGCTTATGCCAGGAAAGCGGCGGTAAGCTGAATTTTATTGAGCTTAAAAGCTTAAAGATACCGTCAAAAAGCGGAAAATTTAATAACTGTGAAAAATGCCTTCACAATGACGCTCGAGAGGCACAGTAACATTGCTCTTTAGGAAGAAAAAGCCCGGAACGCCGGCCGGAAGCCCAGCCTTTGGCAAAAGGTCTACAAGATGAGCCGGGTGGGTGCCTGCGATACCTTAAGAAATTCTAAAGCTCGCCCTAATAACAGCACAAGCCTCATTTGCTTATGCTAGGGTAGAAGAACTTTTTCCAAGCTAGGATTAGATCCTGCATGCCTCAAAAATTTTGGATGGCTTTCGAAGTCGATTTGTTTAAAAAATTGTGGGGAACCGTTTATGCTAAATTTAAAGGGGGCCAGGGCAAGCTGTAGATTTGTTGCCGATGAATTCTTTCTGGCTTTTCCGATCTGGTTCGGCAAATCTCTAAGAAAATCCATAGCGATGCCTTGCCCATCCCTTTAAAAGACCAGAGTATCATCCTAAATTGGCTTCAAAAGCTTCATGAGCTTCATTCTTCAACCTAGCTTCCCAGATTTCAGACCAGTAATATTTTCACGACCACGCAAACACAGAAGGTAACATTTTAGCGAGGCTTTCCCGGCTTTTTCCCTCCGGCTTCCCGCTGTTTTTCGCCTCACTAAACTTTGTTCCGCCTACCCCTTAGCACTAATATTTTCTGCTTGGTTTTGCTTCTTCCTTCGGTCAGTTTCCCAATTTCACACTCCCCCTGTAGCAACGGTCGAGCTCGCTGCCCATCGTCGAGGTTTGAGACGATTTTCGAGTTTTTAATTTTCGATTTTTCACTTTCTTCCCCTGTTCCCACACTAATTGCGCCGCACCATTAATTGGTTTAGATTGTAATGTATAGGGTTTTTGACGTCAAGCAGTATCACTTTCAGGTGGTGAACGCTTTCGGGAACCAAAACGGCGCAGCGGCCAGGCCGATGAAGCCGAAAAGTTTTCCGAATTTGGCGAACGTCTCGGCAATGAAGGGCGCAAGTGAGCCACCTGTACAAAAGAAGAGCTTGGCGTTTTCAATCGACGATCGAGGTGAGCATAACAGTGCCACATATTTGAAGGAGCGATTAAACTAGAAGAAAGATAAGGGTAGAAGAGAGAGAGAGAGAGAGAGAGAGAGAGAGAGACGCAGTGCGCTCAAGAGAAATAATCGATAAAAAACTTTTTTTCCTCTCCCACATCCACTAGGAACTCTGATCAAGTTAGAAAACAATTAAATGGGATTCCGGTAAAACGGCTATTTTTCTAGACTTTGACCCCGAGGATAGACCAAGTCCACCCAAAGGTAAGCCCACTGCACCGGCCGAACCCCCCAGATCTTGATATTGTACTTGTAAATCTATGAATCTATTATATATACAATGCTCGGTTGGCTCTGGCCATGCACATGCACCAGTATGACACGAATCACTATCTTCTATATGACTTATTTTCAGATAACACCCCGATGATCGATGATGAAGAAGCGCCTGAAGACATTATACGGAAGTACAAGCCGGCCAAGCAGCTGCGGAGCTCTGCCAGCATCGCTTCCTATGATAATTTGTTCCGGAATTTTGAGCCCGGACCTGGTATGGGATCAGGTTGGTGATTGGGTCTTGGTGGATACGGTAGCTCCTACTTAACTCATAACACCTTTTTACAAAATTGTCAAAATGCGTAGGCTAGGCAAAATAATTGGATGACATTCGTCCTTCGCGCAGGCTTGGGCTTGGGCTTGTGCGCGCTTATGCTTAGGCTTAGGCTGCAGCTTGGACTTTGGCGTGGGCCCGCTTTTAGGCTTGAGCTTGATCTTACGCATCGGCTTACGCCTAGGATCAAGCATGGGCTAAGAATAGGCTTTAACTTGAGCTTGGGCTTGGACTAGGAATGGGTTCAGGCTTGTGTCTTGGCTTAGGCTTAGGCATACGGGCTAGGCTTGACATGACAAATTAATCTTCAAAAATAAAAGTAACTAAAAATATCAGAACATCAAATTAAAAAGTTTTCAGCAGCCCCCACCAATACCGAACGTCGTAACCTCGCCCAACTCGAGTACGACTGGCTGGCCGCCGTCTTTGAGCGCATTTGCCTGCTCGTTTTCATTGTCCTGTTCCTTTTCATGTCGGTCGGCATTAACATGCTTGGCTGGTATTACTGGAAAAACGCCGAAGTTGTGCCGTTTTGATTTTTAAACATTTTTTACTTCCAGTACAAACTCCTTCGAATCTCCGCCTAGCGCCATACAGAACAATCCGGGTCTTGAATCGTTTTTTTTGTTGCCAGTGTTCTCCATTTCGTGTCCTCCCATTGATGAGCTTAAAGTTTCACGTTGACTGTGAGTGAAAAATAAACGTTTATTATTGATAAAAATTCCATTTTGCGTATTTCATAGGAATGTTCAAAATGCAAATTAAAACTCGCAAACTAAGGTCGGGCATTCATAAAATTCGTCGTGAATTCCGAATTTTTCTTTGATGGAATTCATTAAATCGACTGCGGATTCAGAACGTCTGGTCAGCGTTTTCTAAAAACTGTTACTCTCGCGCTCTTTTTCTCCCTCTCCCTCTCTCTCTCACTCTCTCTCTCGCTCTCTCTCGCTCTCTCGCTCTCTCTCTCTCTCTTCCTCCGGCACACTTACCATACAAACCATCGTAAATAAGTTAACATGAATGAATCCAGCCTGCGTATCGAGCTGAAATTTCTCAGGCGCCTGGTCTCCCAAATAATTTACGGTCAACCAGAAATCAATGCTATTCTAAAAAAAAATATTTAAACGAACAAAATTCCAACTACCATACACTTCGTTGGTTGGTAATGAAAAGTACTATGCTTTCGTAAATTCAAGAGGGTCCCAGAAACAGTCTCATTAATGTTATAGCAGTGGTAAGTATCTCTCTAAAGATGCCAGATTTTTTCGTAGTTGGAAATTAGACAAATTCCGCGAGCTTACGAAAGATACGTTGATTCTCACCATCACCGGATCCAGAGTTTTCAAAGTTTTGTACGGAATCGAGGTAGCAATATCGGCAATTGCCGGTAAATACGTACAGTGATTAATGATCGGGACTAATTCAGAAAAAACCGAGCAAAGGAATATAAAGAACAATAAGGTTTCGACCATTTGGATGATAAATGGTTTTCGTGAAACTTGGCGTTCGGGAAACCCGATCAGGTGTTTAGAGTGGGCATGCGAGTCATTTTAACAGCAAAAAAACTGGGTAACAAGACTGGATGTTGGGCCAGCCTGGTATATTGCAATGACAGATAGTAATACAATTAAAAAATATTTCGGGTTCGAAATATTTAGAAGCATTAGAATTTTTTTCTTTTTGCTCAAATGAATTTTCCGAATCGTTAGAAAAAAAATTAGTATTAGGGAGAACCAGCAATAACTAATAGAGGAGCGAGAAAAGGATGAGAGCGAAGAGAAAGAGTGTGAGAGAGAGAAAGAGAAACAGAGACTCAGAGAGAGAGTGAAATAGAGAGACAGATAGAGAGAAATCGAGAGAGCGTGAGATAAATATCAAGTGCGATACATTTTAAAATGTCATAGTCTATATGTTTGTTGCAAGTATGATATTTGTCATCAAAAAGCCGCCAAACTTTATTCCTTTATTATGAATTTTAACAGCGCTTCTGGCAAAGACAAGCGGCGTTCGTTGATCCGTCGTTCCAGTCGCAATTCACGTCGTTCCATGTGTCATCATTAATCATCTAAGGTCCGATTCATCAAAAAATTTAGCACTTAAACCACCATAGCACAATTTTCCTTAATCCACGTCTGCCGCTCGACCTGGGCAAAAAACGAGGGCTGTCCCGGCGCCCGGTTCTTGTACGTTACGGCCCAGCCGTCGCTGAAAATCGTTGACAATCCCAATGTAAAAAATTTGGAAATAATTAGCATGTCGAAAAGCTTAAAGCTAAAGTATACGTCCAAATGCTGGTCGTGGTGGTTGGGTGAGTCAGACCGATAAAGGCCAGCTTGGCGCATCCCTGCATCCGGAGCATGTTGTCTGGAAAACATCGAATGCATAATACGAATACGAATACGAAAACACAAATCTTTCCTTGCGCTTCCAGACCTTGTTTTCCTGACGTAAGTAAGCTAATCAAAGCGTTTTTGCTTACTGTTGTACTGCTAGAAATTCGGAGAAAGTATAAATAAAAGACGATAAAAAAACTCCACATCTAGCCAGGCCAAAGTACTGACAGAACTTGGAAGAAATTCACACATCCGGCGGGTTGGTTTCGTAGCAACCCGATGCCAAACCTGCGTAAGTAGATGTTCTCTTGTTTTGCTTTGTGTTTCAGCTGCTGAGGGTATATTTTACCTTGTTGACTCTATGAGAACGATCGAATATCTCTCACTACTATTTCTCACTCTCTTGTAAATACCAAACGAATCCTATTTATTCCGCCGCGTTTTTGGGCCAGTTTGTTGACTGAGGAGCGACAGTTTGTTGAGGCCCCGACGTGTGCTAAAAGTAGATGTATTGGATGTCAAAAAAAGATGATTTCTCGCCATTTTCGGGGCTTTCTAGTGATGTAGATGGAAATGATTTCGTTCCGGACTTTTTGCCGGCCACAACTTTGTGCGCCAAACAGCACGGCGAGGAATTGGCGATACGGTTTAATCAGGATGACCATCTCCACCGATGATATTACAGCATGCAGAGCGGTGAATATAAGGATTGCTCGCGGGGCGGCTAAATTGATATCCTCAAAAATCTGGAAGCTCTGCAGCAAACCAAGTGGCAACTCGATACCATAGCTGATGATATATGTGGCGACGCACCATGGGACGCTGAGTGTTAGGAGAGGGACGCATATCTAGTGGTAAGGGTTTTGTTAAGAATTTGCGCCAGGGTATATCACGCGCGCCCTCTCTCGCGCGCTCTCTCTCACTCTCTCTGTCGCTCTCTCTCCGCCCCTCTCTCTCGCTCTCTCTCGCTCTGTCTCTCGCTTCCTTTCTCTCTCTCTCTCTCTCTCTCTCTCTCTCTCTCTCTTTCACTCTCGCGTCAGCTCTCTCTCGCACTCTCTCTCTCTCTCTCTCTCTCTCTCGCTTCTTTATATATAAACCTATACCTGCAACAACATATTCACAATCAATTTTTTCTGCAACTGACGCGTCGCATCACTCATATTCCCCAGCCGCGAATTCAGAACATAGAAACTATGGAAAATCATGAAAAAGCTCTAAAAGGGATCGTCGGCTTTCGGAATCGCCCGACGTACGGCCGGTGTAAAGGTGAGGCTCACGTAGATCAGTGTCACCAAGAATATGGATGCCGCCAATTGCAAGCCCTTGTCCGTATCATCGAGTATCCACAGACCCGGGACGTCGAGGAGGAAACGGTAACTCGGATGGCGCTAGGAATGTGAGTGGATCTGGTATGAGAATGGCGAAATTGAATGCCAAAATGTATCAAAAAATCTAACTAAATTTTCAATAAAAAACCCGCCGCAAAATGCCCAGGAGAGCTTAACAAACATCTTTCGGCCATTTCAAATAAAATGGTGTTGGTGACGTCTTTGCACGGACCCACCCTTAAAATGAGCTGCATGCCTGAACCTGTCAAGTCTTGCGTATAGGGCATCATCCAGCCGCCAACCCCAAGACCGGCACTGCATAAAACCCATTGGAATACCAGTATCGCCACCAAAATCCGGGGGCGGGGCCTGAAAACGTACGTTACGCCGATTGTAGTAGCCGACCGGAGAACGGACAGACTTTTGTCGCTTATAAGATTCGAAATAAAAAATACCTCGCCCAATGGCCGGCCGGCAACACTTGTCGGTGTCGATAGATGAAGCAGCTCGCAATCCCCGTGAGCAGCAACATTAATACGGTGGCAAAGATAATCTAACAAATGAATATCAATATTAGCTTTCCTTTTTAACTAGATACTGCACTAAATTAACTGATTGGCTTATTTATGTTTGCGGGCCTAGTGAGCCAGGTGGCACACGAGTGGGCATGGGGAAGGAGTGGAGGGTAGCCCGAAGCCCCCCCCCTTGGGCTGTACGGGAAGAACCTCTACAAGAACCTCTACCTGACCCCGCCACTGATACGCGACCCACGTTGCAAAAGAAACCCACCCCAATAGCCGTAGAATCCAGGCCCCCGAGTGGACCGTAGCACGTCAGCCCGAAAACCGGAAAAAAGAAATCGGGCAGCAGCAGATGTAGGTAGATCTCGAAAAGCCCAGAGCACATCTGGGTTTTATTCCTCTTTTTGTAAGATGCGAACAGTTCGGGTACCTGGTGGAAGAATAGAAATTTTGAGTACTGCTTCATATAGCGTGGCGACACAAACCAAATCAGCGCCGCCGTGCCGAACGTGATCGGCAGTCCGATGATTGCCATCGCCCCGAAGATCAGTTTATAGCTTGTGGCGTCCACGGATATCGCCATTTCAGTAAAATTTATGTTTAGTAAGGCATGGGCAGACTGCGATTCATGGCGAGAGCCAAGTCCTCGGGGGTGTAAACAGGCCGGCGCGGACGCAGGTGACTTTGGGGGCTACGCCTAATTGCAGAATGAGACGCTGGAAACCTAATTGATATTTTGGTTTGAGGTTATTGTCATTGTTTTGGGCTGGCATTAGGTTGTACCAGGGGACGACGACGTTGGTAAGCCTGATGCAATTGTCGTTTGTCTGTTTCGGTTGCCGGGCATAAGACAAAACAACGATTTTTTGAATTCACAACATGCACGTCTCGATATACGACAAGTATAGTATTCCCCTCCGTCGACGGTACCGCGACACTTGCGGCGCGACACTTGCGGAGCGACACTTGCGGCTGCGACACTTGCGGCGCGACACTTGCGGGGCGACACTTGCGCCCGACACTTGCGGCGCGACATTTGCGGCGCGACACTTGCGCCCGACGCTTGCGGCGCGACCTTGCGGTTATTTAGTATAAGCTATATAAAAATAGTTTAAGGTGTTATTTGATAAGCTGCATCCGATTTTGGCATTAAAAAATTATAAAAAGTCGGGTTTGCGACCGAAGTCACTCGATTTGGAGGGAAGGTAATTGCTACTTCTTCCGCTCTGCGACAAGAAAAAGGCTTAGTGCCACCCGGGGCCTAGTCGCTTCGGATGGGTGCGAGCTCGTACAGGGTTTCTAAATCGGGGCGCCCGAGGAGCGCGAAGCGCCCAGGCCAACCTCTGGTCCAACCTTGGGACCGAAACACGGCGAAATGCCAGACGATTCGTTTTCTTGGGACCCACTGTATTTTAATTTTTAATAGCGGTTTGAAGCAAACAAGACCCCCTATTGCTAATTGAAAAAGCCGTGCTGTGTGCTGCGGCTCGGTATTAATCAACGAAATCAATCATTTATTATTTCATAAAATACATGTCTCGATATCACATACATAGTATTCACCCTCCTTTACCGTATTCATAGCATGCGTGATCTCACTGTATCCTGGGATTTGCTAAAAGTGGGATAACTCTGGTACATGGAGAAATATTTTACCATGCAAGCCATCATCGAAGCGTTAATCCTTCCATCAGCGTCACGAGGGAAATTGATCGTCATTTTGTCAGGGACATCTTTTCGCCAAGGCTCGTGAGGGAATGTAATTAAGCCTTGCTCTTCATACTGTAAAGATAGAAAATTGCCAAATGTTGTAAAAGGCGATTATTGGAGCCTAAGAATTATATCTATTACTGCAAAACTATCTTTTGATTTAATTTTATATAAAAAGTTATTGAAATGCTACAAAAACTCAGTATAGTAAGGTAAGAAAAAAGTCTCAAAGGACACGTTCAGGGACATTTTTTTTTGGAAAAAAAGCAAAGGTTTTCGCCGCGGCCGTGGGTCGAACCCGGGCCCCCCGCTCGGGAGGCGCGGATGGATACCAGTCAGCCACAGCTACAACTAGAGTTGGAAAACCCCCCGAAAACCCCCCGGGGTTTCAAACTCCCGGGGAAAGCGAAAAACTCCCAAAAAACCCCCCCGCGGGGGTTTCAAAACCCCCGAGAAACCCCGGGGTGTTCCAAAAGCCCCGCGGGGGTTTTGAAGACACCTCCCGTGGGGGGTTTCAAAAACCCTGAACCCCAAAATTACCCGATCATGCACTTTGTGGTTATTTTAGCTAGATTTCATGTGAACTTAATTGCTTGTAAACATTTTGCTCCTCAATTGTTTCTCGTGATGGTCCGCCCGGACTCAATTTGTACAATTAGTAGCTAAAGACAATTTGATGATTCAATACATCTATTTACGACGTAAAAGTAAGTCTGAATTATTTTTAGAAAGAATTTTGAGAAAAAATGCCCCGGGGGGTTTTGCCGGGGGTTCTGAGACCCCCCGGGGGTGTTTCAAAACCCCCGGGATTTTCCTCTCCCCCGGGGTTTTCAAACCCCGGGGTTTCTCAGGGGTTTTCGAAACCCCCGCGGAGGATTTAGGAACCCCCACGGGGGGTTTTTTGGGGGTTTCGCTCTCCCTGGGGGGGTTTTGAAACCCCCCCCCCCGGGGGGGTTTTCGGGGGTTTTCCAACTCTAGCTACAACCTCGCGAGGGGGCGAGGGGCGCCCCACGCCGCAAAGGAGGGGAATGGCCTGTCACAGCACGGGCAGGCCGTGCGCGCGGTCCCTACGTCCATAGGGTGTACACGTGGGGACGAGTACACGGCCACTCCCTGAACGTGCGCTTTAAACGAAGAAAATCAGTAGCTGAAAGGGTAAAAGATAGATATATTTATCCGGTTAGAGTTCAGTTTACTCCCCAGCCGGCACCCAACTTTTGTATCTCGGCTCCCTGTTCATCTCTAGGTGTGTAAAGTATACCGAAATGTTTGTCTTGTTCTGGCGAGTATTTTGGTATATTTTACGCACCTGTAGATGAACAGGCGCCGAGTTACGGTAAGTGGGAGTCGGCTGTGGGGCAAATGCACTTAAACCATTTATTCAAAACTACCGTGCAGTTAGTAGGCGGTAGACGGAACCTCCGATAATTTCTTTTGCCATCTATCCACGAAGCCAGCAGCACTTTCAGGGTTCTATGTCTCCCTTCATGTAGTGTCAAGGTGAAGCAGTGAAAGACTGAACCCTGAATCGAAATTTTCTCGAGCCGGTTTGAGTATTCTGACCACGTCCAGCACTGGTATATTCTCTTTTGTGATATTCAACCGGTACATGGCCAGGCCCTCATGATGGCCACAGTTTCGTATTAGCACGATTGAATTTGAAAAACCAGTAGGGATCACCGAATTCAAAAAGAGAGGGATAAGGGTCTTCCACATAGCGGGAAATGTTTTGTACTGTCGTGGTCTCGGGCAGCTGTATTGTTTAGTTGCGGCGAACAGTTTTTGCCTATGGGCGCGTTTTTCGAGCGAGGAGGGCCTGACGAGACTGTCGGGGCCCGAATTCAGAGCTGCCCCTCAGATTTTATTTTTAGCTCAAGCGCTAAAATCAGCGAAGAGAATTAATCGTGAAAACAATCAAGATATTCAAAAGCTCAGCGGAATATGCTGGTGATCACGTGTTTTTTTTGCGCCCAAGCTACCGTAATTTCTTGCTTCTCTGTTGTGAGAACGAGCCAAAGAATTCGCTTGAAAAATGTCTTTAAAATCGTTGATTTTTTATACCAATACTTTTTCAACTTTATTTATTTCTAGTGGCCGGAAATTCCGCTCAAACCCAGGTTGATTTTTCACCTGCCTAGGAAATGGCAAGACGAACAAAATTCCTGGTTTGTACACTTCGTACACCGGCTCCACCTGCCGTTTGGGTCGTAATACTTGAATCCAACGCATTACTGCCCAACCCGTTTGGACAGCTACTGAAATCGCTAGCAAATTTGAACGTCCAAACTCCTGCTCTTGCTCGATTGCAAAGAATTTCGAACATGTCCCTTCCGGGGTACGAAACACCTCTTCTTACTTTAAGGTGTGCTATGATCACACCGTTCAACCTTTCCGTGCTCTACGTCTTTCTCCACGCCCACGGCCAAACGATCGACGGTTACAGGCATATTTTGTCTGCATGTTTCAGGGATTCCCAGGAGACCTGATCGGCTGCTTGCGTGAGTCAATATGACAGCAAAAAAACTTGGATAAACAAAGCTCTCTCCTGATCCGACAAATCGTGTTGTCCTGCAAAACTTTGGACCGGTCTTTATTTTCGAAAATCCACAACGAAAAGCCGGGATTTAGCAGTGCTTCATGCAAAGGCAGGCAGCAGTCATCGACGGCGATGGTCTCTGGTAGGCACAAATCACGTCATTCCAGGTTCCATTGGGCACCATCTAGAAAAAAGTATCGACAACATGTCCCGCTCTAGCGGTCCGCAGAAGTGCCAGATGTTCTAGGCATCTATCAAAAGCTCTCAGAAAAAGCGAGTCCAGGTGTTTTATACGATGTTTTGGAAAGCTGGTCTTTTTTTCGTCCACTAATCTTATTTTTGCGAAACGGGAAACGATATTTCTGATGTATTTTGGTTAAAGCGTTTTATTGCAAAACCCCCAGTTTATGAATTTTTTACGTCTTTTCTGCGAGTCCAACCACAATTTTTGGAAAAACCAATCGATTAAACTCGGTTTGAACGGCGCGGCGCCGATTAAATTGAATTTTTGGAAAAAGCGTTTCCATTTTGCATGAAAAACACCAAAATCGAACAAAACATTCCGGGATTTCGAAGGTCGGTAAGGCGTGCTGGACTGCTATTGCCGAGAGCATTCGATAAATACCTAAATCACAAAAAATGTGAACGTCTGGGTTCCGTTTTTCGAAGACCCTGTCCGAGCAAAAAGCGTACCCTACCACAGTACAAGGTTCGGTATAGCGGTTCTGCCCGTCTGGTGAGAACCGGTAGGACGGCTGACCCGGCTCCCAATTTTTATAGTCGATTGCGGAGCCGTCGCTAAAAAAAATGTTAGGCGGTGTAGGTCGGTAATCGGTCCCCGGGTCCAATTCAGCACAGCAAATGCTTGCTACCATAAGCCCCCTAATAAACCTCGGTTCTCGGCTTTTGCAAACATACAAAATACTTTCCGTTACCAGAACGAACATTTTATTTTGAACAATGAAATCGATTTTTTTGAGTTTCAAATGCCTAAAACCACACTGGATCACCACACCTAGCTTAACAGAGGAGTTTTCATCGTTTTATGAAGACTACGTGCAAATTTAACAAGACTGTAATGCTGACGTAAAAGTGGCCTCCTCCCCTAAACATTATAAATTCCCTTACCGCCAATAGTTAACATAGGCGTTGCTGACCACCTTGAACGTCATGCCGAGATGTGTCTGGTTACAACCTTTTGTCGTGGCCATTTTGACTGGAATATTGATTTGATGGTTTGCGTCCCGAAGCGCAAGCACAGCTTAGGACGCAACCAGGCAGGATTCGAGGCGAGCTTATTTTTTATTTCGGCCGCCATTTTTCGTGCCGGGGTGTAAAGTATACGAAAATGTTGGCCTTGGTCTGGCTAGTATTTCGATATGCTTTACGGTCCTTTAAAAGAAAAAGTAGCCGCGATACATTACAGGGTGTCCCAAAAGGCCCCCCTAGCGGTCGGCAGTGATGTCCGATTTTTACGATTTAGGCATCTATCGAAAGCTCTTGACGAGCTGAGGAGATATGCTCTTTCCGATTTTTGAAATTCCTGAATTTTAAACCCGATTTTCAGCGTTTTTTGGGCGAAAATTACGCAATTTTGTGCAAAAACTCAATGTAAGCGGTTTTCAGCCGCATCCGAGCTGTGTTTTCTCGAATGCCCTTCAAAGAGCCGGCTTTGGGCTGCCAGGCAGCTGTAAAAATTTCGAAAATCGTGTTTTGTTTTGTGTGTTAAAAACACTTGGATTGGGAAAAGGCATCGAAATTCAGCCAATTTCGCAAAGATATTAGTAAATGTTATAAAAGTTCGGGAATTTCGAAAATCGGAAAGAACATACCTCCTCATCGTCAAGAGCTTTCGATAGATACCTCAATCGTCAAAATCGGACATCACTGCCGACCGCTTGAGGGGGTCTTTTTTTTGGGACACCCGGTAGGTTGGGGGTAGCGGCAGGGGTGGGGGTCATCTAGCATTCAGCCCGTACTCACCCCGAATTTTTTCATTTTCCTTGGCCGAGTGGATAGAGGGCAATTGCAGCCCCTTCGCTTTACATGCGGTCGCACAATCCTTAAAGCACTTCTGCTTACAATTTCTATAGGGTCTCACCTCTCCCATGATGCAGTTTTTACCTAGGATATACCAATTCGCATTGTTGTAAGTCCAATCTGGTGTGAGAGTAACTTAAAAAAAAATAGCATACAAAGTTGCGGAATGCGTTACCAGTATCACATGGACTTTTCGTTGTCACGGCAGGCTTCTTTGTCGTTTTTATAGCCGTTGCAGCTTTTTTAGAGGTTGTAGGCTTTGTAGTTTTTATGGTTTTTGTTGTCGTTGTCGTGAGATTTACCCTATTCGTATCTTCGCACGTATTTCTCCATTCATACGCCACGCATGAGCCACTGATCTCAACGGCTAGGCGTCAATGTTATAATAGCAGCGCTGAAAAATTACATCTCCACCCTGGTAACGCGGTCTCATTGTCCAGCGCTAAAGCGGAAGCTGTACAGGTTGAATCCGGGCGACACCAAATAACAGTTTTGCAACCAGAGGACTGACTTGAGCATTTTAAAAAGCATTCCTAAAAAATAATAGGAATAGGATATCATTAAACCCTTCAACAATTTTTAGGGTCTAAAGTTTCCACGAAAATTGAAACAATCGGCAAAAGTTGCCGAGCAGAACCGAGCAAATTTGCTGGGTTCAGCAATTTTTTGAAAGTTTTCTTCAGAATTGAATAAGCTAGGAAGGCGACGTTTTTGAGTGTCGACGGGACTTTGGGATGAAACCAAGCATATCTTGTGCAAAATTTTGCGCTGATTTCGAATATGGTTACCGTGTTTACGAACAAATTCTCGAAGAAGAAATTCTCGAAAGTTACAAAGGAATTAAACCGCTGTTACTTTGCAAAACTCCAAAAACGCCTAAAAACGACTTCCTGTGAGCCAAATCCGGCTTATCGCGTCAGATATCACGGAAATATCGGCTTACCTTTAATGTATAGCCATAGAATTTGTTAAAATTGCCCGCCCCTAGATCGACGTTAGATCGTGCCAACATTGATTCTGATAAATCTTTGCGCTTCCAAGCCCCAGTTCCCTAAAGGTATTTTTGGTAATGCAATGCGTCTCACATACGGTAGAATTCGTCATCCAACAGAAGGTTACACAAAGTAAGAAACGCCTCGACATCGCTGACCACGTTTCCGCTTCGTTGGCAAAGAACGCATCCGGCCCCCCGGGTATCGCAGTAACCGGCGTGAAACCACCAGAAGGCTTGTAAATCTTTTTTGAAAATCGGTTGCTTGGCTGCGTAAAACACGTGAAAAGTCTGCCATTTTATGCCTTGACTTTTTAGCTTTATGACGGCTTGGAAAGTTTGTTATGCTACAAAACAATTTATTGTTTTTTACAACGTACAAGTCTCGACATCACAGGTGTAATATTCTTGCTCGCTGATGTTGCTCATAAAGTTTGTGAGCTCCGTGTAGACTGGGATTTTCTGAAAGCGAAATGAGTTAGTTTAAATAAAGCATCTTACCATGCAAGCGATCGGGGAGGTTCTATACCAGTTGTTGAAGCTGATCGTCACCTCGCCGGGCAGAGCATGCCGCCAGCCGTTATGTGGAAATTCTATTGTAGTACGGTCAACCCACTACAAAGATGACTACTAGAGAAAACGTGTTACAATTGTCAGATTAAAGGGATCGGAATTGTCAAAAAAGTGAGTTACAGCGGTAAAAGAGGACCTGTCGGTATTGACATTTTCGCAACCTGCCGCTTTACGCGCCAGGTTCTGAAATGAGAGATTTTATTTCTGCCCCCACCCCCCGGAAATTCGCAAAAAATGATTCAGATGTTGCATTTCTGGATGGGGAACCGTCAAAATCCCGACATTTGAAATCCCGACAGCCATAATCCCGACAGCCAAAATCCCGACAGCCATAATCCCGTGACTGAAAATGGTTGTCGGTATTTTGAATGTCGGGATTTTGGCTGTCGGGGTTACGGCTGGAATTCATTTCTGGGCCCGTGCCGCTAAATAAATCGGGAAAGAATAGTAGGCCCAGTTCCACAAAAAGCTCCAAAGCAAGAAAATTATCAATTTTTTTTGTCGCGCATTGAGTACTTAGAAAGTGGCGGTCCCCCCGCAAACGGCTAGCAATTTACCGGTTTAAGCGGAAAACCAAGGTTTTGCCTACCGAGCAGCTCGTAGGGGGTAGATGGAACCTCCGATGGTTCCTTTTCCCATTTAGCCAAGCCATAAATACAATATTAAAACGTTCATTTCGCATTTCTTCCCGTGTCAGCGTGTAGCAATGAAAAGCCGAGCTCTAAAGAGATCACCTAAGACTTATTAAATATTTTTAGACCATATCGACTATCTGATCTTCCTTCGAAATATTAAAGCGATGCGTTGAGATGACCTCATGATGGACGCAATCCCTTATTAGTATAATGGAGTTCGAAAGACTGTAGGCGTTTAAAGGAATCAGAAGAAGGGCCAGAAAAATCCCGCCCATGAAGGCAAATGTTTTGAGCTTTTCGTGCCCACGATCAACCGTATTGTTTAGGCCGGCCAGCTTTTTGCTTATGAACCCCCGTTCCGAACCGACAAGGGTTCAAATCGCGCGAATCTCCTCTTCGCCTACTGCCTCTCATCTGCGCACACACCTTTGGCGTTTTTACGCCTTACGCGACAGCTACCATCGCCTACGACCATACCACGTTGAAAGCACGGCACCCCGTCCGGTCTGCCAAGTTAAGCAACGTTGGGCTCGGTTAGTACTTGGATCGGAGACGGCTTGGGAATACCGAGTGTCGTAGGCTTTTTGTTTGATTTTGCTTTTTCATACCCTTGGTCTCTACAGCTTTCCGAAATTCCAAAGTATGAGGTGTTCTTTTCGGCAGAGTATTTGAATGTTTCCTTTTATTTTCCAATTAGAGAGAACAAGAGTAGAGGTCGCAGCCATAGTATTCCAGATTGAATACCTCGTTGTCAGCCACCTTTGCCATGAAATCGGAATAAATAGGTGTTTTCTGAACAGAGATTGCCGCCGAGACATTTGTGCCCACCCAGCAAGCCACTTTGCTTTCCCGCAGTGACGAAGTCTGAGGGCCCATGTTATCGAGCATGATCGACACGTTCTTCGGGTCACCGCGCCGCCCGGGTGCGTGCGGAAAGTCTATATTCGCCGTTGTTCTGAACTAAAAACAAAAACTGTGATGCGTAGCATAGGAAACAATAAAAAACTGCAAATGGCAAAACACACCTCGCAATTCGTCGGCGGGTAGTAAAGCCGTTTCTCGGACCTCATCCGAGTAAAGCCCAGAATATTTCGGTTCCTCGGATGATTACGGAATCTCTGCGCACGACAAAGCAAGAATAGGTCCCTGCCTAAATGGCTCTGGGTTTATTGACATCATTAAAGGAGATCGGTCTTAGTACAAAAACTTGCCGTCTCTAGCGCTGGAACCTGATCGTCCGTCAGGTTGAAGAGTGTCTGGTAGACACCAAAATATTTGCACGATTTCAGGAGCACGATCTCCCTGGTCGTGGCAAAAACGAGGAGCACGGCCAAGGAAAAGATACAAAACCGAGAGTTCATTGCAACTAAACGATCACAAGCCACAACTAAATTTTCTGATCAGCCGGATTGTTTAGTCGCGATTGTGGGTTTTTAGATATTTCGGCAGACCGCAATTTTTCCAAAAAGTTGTTATTGGCTGCGGCGGGAATCGCCGTTTCGTCTTGTGTGTTTACTTTGTCAGTAAACTGCTATAAATCGGCCATCACGATAAAATTTATTTTATAAAAAACAGGGACAGCGATAATTTTAACTCGGATTAAAAGCTTTAGTTGCACGTTTCCACGTCACATTTGTAGTGCTCGCTCGCCTTGATCGCCTGCCACATGTATTCGCTGTAGATGGGCATTTTCTCGAAAAAATATCAAAGCCGTATTTCGGATAGTTTACCATGCATAGCTTATCGTAGTCGAGTGTGGCGTTATTGTCGAGATCCACGAAAAGCGACGGGAACGGGTCCTTGCGCCATTCGATTTCACGGTCTCCAAGCGTGGCTGTGGACTGGAACTAAAAGACGCAAATGATACGTACAAAAAAACGCAACAAAGAATATGAAGAGAAATGTCCAAAAAGGTGATTACCTGACAATTGTTAGGCGGGTTGTGCATCCGCCGGTGCGTGAGCTTCCCCGAAAACCACCAGCCGCTGCGGCTACGGCTCGTTTCCAGCTTGTAGCAATAGTAGATTGGACTCTGAAATGGGAAAAATTACGAGGTGAAATTTTTAGCCACCATTTGCACAGGTGGCACCGTCGGGAATTTCTCCGGCTCCATCAGCCGCCAGTCATCAAAGTGTCGGCATTGGCGCACTAATAGGAGTTTTTCATTAGCGGCTACGCTAGCAATGATGAGGACGAGAAGAAGCATGGAAGTGTTACCAAAAAAAAGATCGGTCCTGGCAGGCCATGACTGTTTATATCCTAGTCGGCAAGGATGATTTTTGGAGAATTTTGGGGCTCATGTGTCATTTTGATCTATGAAGGGCACGGAAAGGCAGAGGAGTGTGACTCAACGCCTAAGCCGACAAAAAACACATTGGAGAAAGATAAGTAAAAGGCAAAAGTATGACAAAAACCATGCAATATTGCGCAACCTTTTCTTTAGCAGCTTGGGCTTCAATATTTTTGGCTTGCATCGTAAGCCTGGAAAGCGTCAAAATCAATTAGACGCGTTCTTACAAAATTTATATGCAATTCACATGCACATATGCAATCATCAATATACAAAACAATATGGATTGTTTCAAAACTGTAGAGTACACTTTTCCACCGAACAATAGAACCATTCGTACTTGGTGAAGGTTGTATTCATATAGCCATCATAGATTGGGGTTTTCTAAAAGTCGTATCACCATTTTACAGTGGCACTATGTATCCATAACGTTTTATGTTCCATATTATAGCCTACCATGCAGATTTTCGACTGGTTGAGGCGATCATAGTCATGAAGTTCGGGATTCATAAAAAATTCTTCCCACGGTCCGGTGCGCCAGGGCCTATGTCTTTGCCCGATATGCACTTCGCCTACCACCTAAAAACGAAGACTATAAACGAGGCTCCCCGACATTTGCGGCCCGACCATTTGCGGCCCGACAGATGCGCCTGACATTTGCGGCCCGTCCTATTAAGCTGGTTTTTCCCAATCCTACTACATATAAAAAAAATAGTGTTTGTGTGTGGACACTTTGCATAAATGGCTCGAAAAACCGGGTTACCAAGATATCGGGAAGGGGGAAGAATTTTAGGACCGGGTCGAAAAGTATTTGGGGGTAGTCGAGGGCGTAGATTACTGCAAGCTTATCAGATCCTACCTTATATAATTTGGTCGCGTATCTTTGTGTGTGTGTGTGTGTGCGGAGGTCAGTTTCGAGGCCCGATTTGAGGCCCTTCCCGTGTCCAAAATGCCCTAGTTCTTCGTCACCCGGGGGAATCGACCCTCCTCTTTCCGATGGCGTTTTCAGAATCCCGATAAAATACAAGTTTACAAAGTTAAAGCCGGTTTTATTGATTTTTGGCGGGTCCGGGAAGGCTAATTTGCATAATGTGAGAAAATACAAATTTCCTCATTCTTGCCAGTTGCACTCGCGAGTTTGGTCGTCTCTTTGGATCTGCCTCTCAATGCCTTTCCTTCCCGGGCAATGCCCAAAAGGGGTTCTTGGCGCGTGCTGCCAAGCATTGCATGGCGTAGTGGTAAGCGCTTCGCCGTGCTAATCCAACCAGCGGAGGTTCGATCCTCGGATATCTTAGTTGTTTTGCTTTTTGCTCGGAAAGTGCGTTTCGGAGTGGACTTCCGTGTATTATGAAGTTAGTCACCCAAACCTTCGTCGCAGGCTTTAGAACGAAGCTAGCCGCTCAAGCTAGCGCCGCAGGCTTTAGAACGAAGCTAGCCGCACAAGCTAGCGCCGCAGGCTTTGAAACGAAGCTAGCCGCTCAAGCTTGCGCCGCAGGCTTTGAAACGAAGCTAGCCGCACAAGCTAGCGCCGCAGGCTTTAAAACGAAGCTAGCCGCACAAGCTAGCGCCGCAGGCTTAAAGAGGGAGGTAACCGCTCAAGCTTGCGCCGCAGGCTTTATCTCGAAGCAAACCGCTCAAGCTGACGCCGCAGGCCAAAAAGGGAGGCTAATCATTCAAGCTGGGGCGCAGGATGAGGTCTGCCGATGGAACATGCACCGCAGGCCTAATAACGAGACTAGCAGTTCAAGCTTGCGCCGCATACCAATACAAAGAGTTTTGCATGAGAGATGATTTTTTCTTTCTTCAGGGCAACTTTATGTGGAAGGGCGCTCGATTCATAGGGCCTAGACGGGGTCCAGCGGGGGAGAGTCGCGAAGCGGCTCCTCCCCCGCTGGTTTTTAATAAAATGACGATTTAGACCTTATTTTAGCGATTTAAAAACACATGGAAATAACTTCATTTGCATAAGAGGCGTTAGGAAGCTCATTTCGGATTTTGTCACGCTCTCAGTCGGTCGGTTTTGTGCTTATTAGGGTTGAGAGGTTGGCGCTAATTCGCTAGAATTATGTAAAGTGCCCAGCTTCGAGAGATCTCCGCGCAAAGGCCAGGGGGTGAAAAGCCGCGTAGCGGGTTTTCAACCCTGGTATATAATTAAAAAAAAAACAGGTTTAATAAGGGGTCTAAAGAATTTTCGGGCAAGGTGGGCCGTCGCTTCGGATGGGCTGCCGCTCCACTCTTTCCAAATCGGGGCGCCTGGCCGCTGCGCGCGCCGCGGACTCCCCGATTTGGAAACCCTGTACGAGCTCACACCCATCCGAAGCGACTAGGCCCCGAGTGGCACGAAGCCTTATTTTTTAGGTAAAGATTAGGGAATAAGCGATCAAAACCGTTCAGAAAACTAGCCTTCCGGACGGTTAGAAGCTTCCGTAGTGTGATTAATTACAGCTTTGGGCCGCAATTGTCGGGGCCGCAAATGTCGGCCGCAACTGTCGGGCGCAAGTGACGGGCCGCAAGTGTCGGGCCGAAAATGGTCGGGCCGCAAATGTCGTGGCACCATAAAAGATTCAATTCAGCTATTCGACGAACCTGACAATTACTGGGCGCAATCCGAAATCTCTTGTTGATATATGTGCCCTCGTACCACGCGAAAGGCCCTGTCGGCACATAGGTTGTTGTCATGTTGTAGCAATGGAATATATTGCCCTGTAAGATAGTTTAGAGAAGCTTTTTCTGGAAATTTGCCTTTGTGTGATCATTATGCTATGACTAATACAGGGTTCCCTAATAAAAACATCCCCCCCCCCCTTTAACTCCACGCAGAAGTATCGGATCGGAATGGTAGTTACACCATTCGACAGCCCTTGAAACGGCGAGCTTGCAACAATCTTCAAAACCATCTTTTTACTTAAATCAGGTATTTAATAACGAATTGAAAAACATTAAAGAAAGGCCTCTGCATCTCATAAGCGACAACTTCTGGTCTTTGTATGGACAAATTGAGGCAATTTGTATCGTATTCGTGTCCGAAAACGCTAGACTTTGCAAATTTTTTGGTCAAATAGCGTGTTTAAATAACAAAATGGTTGCAAACTCGCCGTTTGAAGGGCTTCGAATGGTGTAACTATCACTTCCACGTCGAATTAGGGGGGGGAGGGTTTTTTTATTGGGATACCCTATAGGTGGGACGTCTTCAAATCTACCATCTCCACGACCGGGCCACGGGTCGTGATGTTCAAATGCGAAGGTGCGTCGTAGTGCCGACATTCCCTCATGAGCAACAGTTCATTTTGTATGACCGGGTTAAGCAAGGTGAAGACGAGTTGACGCATTTTCAAATGGGAATTCCTGCATGGCTGAAGCGGCACAATGTTTAGTTGCGACGTGCCGTTTTTGCACTGCTATGGTTCTGTTGGTCGGTCTACGAAAAATGTTTGGCAGGCTGGTTTGTGCCAGAACGTCGTCAGAAACTACACTATATTTAGATAGATGCAGGCCTGCGTCCGAATTTTCAGAAGCGTATCGCGCGCTCATACCTAGTGTTTTTAACCGGTTGCACCAACCGCTACTGAAATTTGACTTTTTCCTTGTTTTTGCTTCATTTTTTCACTTCACTTCATTTTTTCTTGATTTGGTTCGCGTAGACATTGAGGTAACGTTGATAAAAAAGTTTATTCAGTTATAAATACTACATGACACACTTTTCCACGTCGCAGTCGTACTGTTCATAAACCCCAAAATAACGTGCGCCAAAATCGTTATAAATGGGTACTCTCTAAAAGTCATAACATAATATCGGAAATTGAAAATTGAAAAACAGATTATGGACAAACTTTCTACTCACCATGCACAGCATTGACAAGCCCGGATGGAGCCTTGGCCATAAGTAAAATGAAAAGTAGTCCCACTCCGAAGTGCGGTGCTTTGTATGGTCTATCCAAAGAAGCGCATTGACGAAATACTAGAACATTAATATCATTGATACCTTAACGAAAATTGGTCCAAGAAAAAGCATCATATCTCGTCACCTGGCAATGCGTGGGGGGATAGTATATACGCCGTGGGGTCAGATACGCGTCGATCCACCAATTTACGGTCTCCCGAAAATGCGCATACGACGTGTTCAGCCGATAGCAATGAAAAACATTGCTCTAACGCACATGGCCAATGGGTTTTTAATTACCAATTGCATAGCCGGTGGATTTGGCGTTGTCGTTTGGTTTACAAAGACGTAATGACCGCGGCAGTTCCGAAGCAGCAAAATTTCGCCGCAAAATGCGGCTGTGAACAGTACAGAAAAAATTGCAGGCGAACTCATGCTAGAACTTACAATTAGAGTTTGGCGGGGCTATTCGGGTCCAAAAATAGTTTATGCCGTTCGCCGCTTGCCGTTGACAGCAAAAAGTTATCGCGAGCGCGGCAAAATTTTTTCATGGTGTTTGGAGGCAAGCATTTTCCCAAAAAAGTGGTAGCTACGATACGTTTTTTGGAGACCTTAAAGGGGCCCAGAAATGCCAAAAATTGAGTGACGGCCCGAAAATCGGAGCCCTGTACGTCGCAGGCCTCTGTACACCCCGGGACCCGGGAAGCTCGCAAATTTGAAATTACCTGTTTGCACCTCGAAATCACGTTCTCGGTTGTTTCTGGGCCAAATTTGATGCTTAAAACACCAAAACTATTTAAAATTGCGCGAAGATTTCAAAAATGAGCTCAGAACGCGCAAATTATAGTGTTTTGTCAAAGAAGCCGGGCAAAAACAGTTTCGCGCAAAAAGCGAAAGAGTGAGTGCTCTGGTCCCGCCGCGCCCGCTGGCAATTTGCCAGAAATCAGAGAGCTCTCCCAAAAGGGCTTTGATTTGGCATTTCGTAGCCCCTTTAAAGGGATGCCCAACCTTTTCGGGGCTCAAAAAGCAAAAACCATACCGCGGGCGGGGGTCGAACCCGGACCCCCGTTTTGTAGGCCAGGATGCTATCCATTAGGCCATAGTGGCAAGCCATTGGGTGGGATGGGGACGCCACAAGAGGGAAAGATGGCCGAATTTTGTGCAGCATTGGCGCCTCATTGCCACACAAAATTCCCGCGTCATTTGTACTGCCGGAATACATAACTATACAGGGTGCGGCAAAAGTATTGTGGCGGGCTTTTGCCTCATATCTGATTCGCGACAAAAAATCGGGAAGTTTTGTCAGCAGGGCTAGCTTCAGACAGGTCCAAGGCAGCAATCTGTCAGTTTTTTGGAATCATGATTTTGAGCGAGTTTCATTGCATGATGTACACGACCAAAAATCACAGTGCGCCGCTTATTCATTTCGTCGAAATAGTTCGGGGACTATGTGTCACGATGACTTTTCCTATGTGTTTCTGGTAGCATTTGCTTTGTTATCCGTCGTCTTAAATGGAAACTTTATAATATTGCGATTTGAAGGCGTTATGGCTTCAGACATCTTTGACGAAAATGGGCTATTCTGGCCGGTTTCGCGCGAAGCTTGGGTTTTTTGGATTTTTGTTTTTTTTAAGGGGCTCCTAGGGGATAACGTATCATTATACTCATAAGCTTCCTGTCTGCCGCGAAGCGGTTTTTCAACCCTGGTCTCTGTTAAAAACTGTTAAGCTACCATCTCAATGTAAGGCAGCCGATGGTAGCTTTCCCAATGCACACACTGGCGCACCAAATATAATTTTTCGTTGTAATTCGGGGTAGGTAGGTATAGGCAAATAAGCAAAATAGGGAATATTGATAGGTGTTTTGTCAAAACGTCAGGGGCTATCATTGTTTATGGGAATTTTTCACGACTTTTTCACGAGCGTTCACGGAAACGTAAACCAGACTCGTTCGATCAAAAAAGGCAATCGGGAAATTGCGAGAATATCGAGCATCTGGTTTGTCGTTTGTCCTGGGTTCTTTTAATGCAATCAAGGTTATTTTCGAATTCGATCCGCGATAACATTTATTAAAACTTCACGCAACAACTAAACACGGCACTTCTCGATCATACAAAAATAATTCTCCTGCTCCGTGAAAATCGTCTTCGAAAAATCATCGTAGACGGGCATTTTCTAAAAAGTTTGGTGTAATTTAGGAAGCCGGCTCCTAGTCCTATACCATGCAAATTGTCGTTTGGTTGAGACGTTTATAATCGTCCTTGGCGGCATACATCCAGAACATTTCCCAATTCTCCGTACGCCCGGGTTTGTGCTTGTTGCCGACGTGTACTTCGGCTTCTACCTTTAGTTAAATAATTTTTTTATTTTTTTTCATGGTTTACTTGACAATGGTTGGGTGGGTGCCGGAACCTTTTGTTGTTATAGTTTCCCTCGAACCACTTCCACGGGCCGGCGCCCCAGTACATTGTATGCATGTTGTAGCAATGATAAAATTCCGTCTAAAAACCCAGAATTTCTTAACTTACTTATTAACTACCATCTCAACGGTTGGGCCGGCGTCCATGAATGTCGCGTTACTACGATAGTCATCGTGATGACGGCACTCTCTCATGAGCAATAGCTCATTTTGAATCACCGGGTTTAGGAATGTTACAACTACAGCAAGCATTTTTGAGATGCGATCCGGTGGCCGGTGGCTTGATTGATAGTTTAGTTGCGGGGAACCAGTTTTTGCAGATGTGATCAGATTACAAAAGGCACAATAAAATTGTCGTGTGGTTTAAAAATGGAGTCTTGTAACACTTCTACAAGCTCGCCGCCCACCCAACTTTTTCCACCGTAGAAATTTTTTGATTTACAAAAATTACGTCTAAATTGTGCCTTTTGATTACGTTTTATTATCAAAGAGACCCGAAACCGAGCCGAAAATGATCATTTTTGGGAAGATTGCTCAAAATCGGCATGATAATCGCGAAAACATAGCCAAAAATGAGTATCAGCGTTCCCCAACAATCAGCTTTTTGGCGATAACTTTTTTGTTTTACAATATTTTGTTTAAAAAATTCGGCTGCACCTTAGTTTTACGAGTCCTCATCGCTGATAAAAAATTTGGTCCCGGTCGGATAGAAGACGGCCAAGTGCCGAGGGGGGTTTGGGACACCCTGTAAGTTCTTGGAGGCGCACGGGGTGGACTTCTCGATGGACTCGGCCGCAAATAAGTTCTGCGACCGCCAAGGTGCAAATTGTTGTATTTATGTGATTAATTAAGATTCTGATAAATAAAGATTTTATGGCCTGCCCTTCACGCATTTCGTGGCTGAATACTTGCCAAAAAAACCCCAGCAAGACGGGCTAAAAAGAAAGCTGTCATCAGTGCTGATTGGGGGTTTCTGCTTCTTTATGAATAACAAAAAATGGGCTTCCCATTGACCGAAGCATCGCAACAAAGGCGATTGAATGTCATTTACGAACTAGTTTGGATAATCGAGATTACTGCCAACTTTAATCATGCCTCAAAAAAATTGCCTGCTGTTGTTTCAAATTATGGATGCTTTATTGGTTGGTGGTTGATTGGTGGTTGTTTTTGAAAAGTGTAGTAATTAGGCTAAGGACTCGGCCGAAGCTTCGTTAAGGCAAAGGCATTGGGAGGTTTGTGCGAAGTTATTAATTGCATGCTGGACATTTGTTCAGCTGCCCAGTTGCCTCGCACTGCCGGTCAGCCAGATTCTTAACATGGTTCTCGCCCTTTAATCTTATGGAAGCGCCCACCATCAATACTCTCACAATCCCACAAGCCATTGCTTTGGTCTGTGCGCCACACGCTTTTCCGTAGATGCCCGAGTTGCAATCCATAAGGGTGTTCATCGCCCTGGAATCTGAGGTTGAGCCGAGTATTTACCGACTAGTTCGACAGAAAAATTTGGCCACAGCGCCCATTAGTAAGCATCAAGCCGGGTAAAACTTACTTGCAAAGCCCAAATTTGGCATTTTTGTAGTAATCGGCGCTGCACTGTTGGAGCTGAGCCTGATACGGGCCGAACACAGCGCGATAGCAGTCAAAATTGTTATAGAGGGCTGAAAGAACCCGTGCTTGCCATGGACCTGGCTGGAGTACCGTCGATTCCTGTGGTGCACTCGAATTCCATGGCACCCAGGTCGTTCCGATAAGTGGCTGCGTCTTCCGCGCTCAGCCCCATTGCCACATAGCAATCGATCGAAAGCGGGATATATTGCCGTAGGCAGTCCGACAACGTCCAAGTGTTGCTAAACGTTGGATGGTATACAGGGTGTCCCATAAAAAAACACCCCTCCGGCATTTCGCCATATTACATCCGATTGGTCCCAAAATTGGACCAGAGGTGTATCAGACCCTAAATAACCACAATCCTGAGTTATGGCCCGCCTGCTACAGTAATTTTCGAGATACAACAAAAATAAACTTTATTATCCGTTTTTCTTAAGGTTTACATCAGAATCGACCATTCGAATATGAAGTGAAAATGAAGCGGCAAGCGTTTTTTTGCCCTTAGAAATTTTTGCCTGATAAAAATTCATCAAATAATCGTTGATTTCAACAATTTTTGTAGGCCAAAGACACACCCGATATTAAGCGAAATTAGGGATTTGCAGCCGGAAGTCGATGCAAATCGAGGCAAAGTCCAAAAATATAGCCGAAAAAAACTGTTAAGAATAGTGTAAAAAATAGTATTTTGGCGATATATCGAAAACCACTGTAGCGATCGGGCTATAACTCAGGATTGTGGTTATTTATCGTCCGATACACCCCTGTGCAAAGTATTGGACCGATTGGATGTAAGGCCGCGAAATGCCGGAGGGGTGCTTTTTTTTGGGACACCCTGTATATGTTGTTCTGCCATGGTAATTGAACCTTTGTGAAGCTCCTAAGCATACCTGCACACAGGAAAAAGCGCATTACGCCCATCCTTCTTGTACATTTGTTCCCTAGAGGTTGCCCAGCTTGCTGCGCTTGGTAAGGTTTTGCCGGCCACTGTAAGAGATTAGGATAAGGGTCGGTTTCCGATGAATAAAACCAAAACTTGCCAGGCGGTGTAGGCAACTCACATAGCCCGTAGAACCTCAAGTATGGAGCGTAGCAGCTAGCCATGCTCTGCAATATGGATGCCGGGCAGTCTGCTCTCACGCCCATAACAAAAATAACTATCCCAATGAATACCCTATGAAGGAAATCACATTACCGATCAACAACTGCAATTTCATGGCGGGCACACGGTCAACTCATCTTGAAGCGGCGGACTGGCCAAATGTTTATATCTGAGAATCTAAACGGTTTATCTCACTTCTCCCAGCGAGACGCACACACGGGGTCAAGAAGTACGTGGAGACACCGATAACACCCAAAAATATAGTTTTACCCCAACGCACTACGCACAAAACCCGCTTCGCGGGCCTTGGGTGCTGGAATGCGACGGTTGCAGGAGGAACATGACTTTCCGATCCTGATCGAAAATCGCCTGATCGAAAATCTCCTGATCGAAAAATCGCCTGATCGAAAATCGTCTGATCGAAAAATCGGCTGATCGAACTACGCCTTATCGAAAATCTCGAAAATCGCCTGATCGAAAATAACTCAACAATATTTAGGGCTTTTCTAGGCTTCTAACACGTGTTAAACTACTTTTTGAGTTATTATCGATTAGATAATTTTCGATTAGACGATTTTCGATCAGGGGATTTTTGATCAGGCAACCTTTCGATCAGGCGACTTGGGAATCGGCCCTTGATCCGCCCCCGCCTCCTTCGATTTCCGGCTATTTACCAAATCCTGCCTCATCCGGGTCCTTCAAATTAACGTTCACCTTATCAAACTCCCCCACGCATACTTCTTGCCCATTTACACTCCCTTCTTCACGAGGTAGGTAAGATAAGCCCTAGCCCGCACCAAATAAAAGGCCCGCCGCAAGGCTCTAGTCCTTAGACCCCGATTCCTAATCATGAAGCTGATTTTGCTGACTGGTAAGGAAATTTTTTGTGCTGGGTATAACGTAATACAGCGCTGTTCGCCGCCGGCATTGCGGCGGACTGCCCGGCTAGCCTTCTGCAGGTTATGTCAACCTGCTACACGCCCTTCCTAAGGTTCTACGGTGTCCGTGAGTTTATTGCGAGCCGCTTCGAATTAGTTTTAGCCGCCCGATAAGTCAAAAAACGGTGCTGAACTGTTAGCGGGGAGATTTTTAGCAGGGGGAACCGCTTTCTATTTTTTCACCTACTGTTGATGACATATTATGTATTTTTATAGTGTTTTTGGTAGTTTTTGATTTCTAGAAAAGGACAAACAATATTTTAAAACTCTTGAAAATTCCAAAATCTTGGCCTTTGACCAAAAAGTAAAACAATACCTTTTTATATAGTTTTTGTATCTTACAAGTATGCAAAATGCCATACAAATGGTTTATATTTTGCTATAGGGCCGTAGAGAATCACAGGGGAAAATTTAGCTCCCCCCGCTAAAAGTCCGGAACCCAGAGAACTAATGACGGTACTAGAAGGGCTCGCTCTTTGATTATTAAATGTTTTAGCCGCTCCGGGAAAAACGCTGCCGGCTCCGATCAGCTGGGCTGGACCGAGGCAGCGTATGTATGAAAAAGATGGACGGAACGCACTCTTCCCGGTCTGCAGGTCAATTTCAGGCCCTTACGGCTTCATGGCACGAGACCATCAGGCTTCTAAATGAAAATCGCACTTTTTTCGGCGCGAGCCTGAATTTTTTATGAATAGCGGACACTATATTTGATTACTAGGCCAACCGGGACCGCCGGGAAAAAAGGGTTCCCCCGCGAATCCAAAAGTTGCTAAATAAAAGTCTTACAATTTTGCTAAATGTTTGCGAAGAATAATCTAGGGGAAAAAGTCTGAAATTTCGATAGAATGAAAAGTAAGCCTTCAGCACCACTTGGGCATTGGCCGACTGCTTGCGGAAGTACCTCCCCGTCTCTCGTGATTGCTACGTAGCGCTGGGCTTGAGCGTCAATGACGCGGCAACCTATCAAACAGACCTCGCCGCCATGGAATTCCAGTGCACCACGGGAATTGATGGTGACAACGACAACTTTTTATCCTATCTTCGTTATCTTTCAGCCCTCTACACCAATTTCGATTGCTATCAGGCCGCCATCGTCCAGCACGTCAACGAAATTGAGCAGTGCATCACGGATTACGTGAAGAATGTTAAGGTTGACGTTTGCAAGTGAGTTTTAGTTTGATAAGGTTGAAGTTGACCTCTGAAAGTGCATAGTTTCCTCTTGCAAGCATTCTTTTTCTGAGCGCCTGTCTGGCCCGGCTCAATCGCTACAATTTTTAACCCAGGGCGATGAACACGCTGATGGACTGCAAGGCCAACATCTATGGCAAGGCCTGCGGCGATCAGGTGAAGGCATTGACGTGCGGCATTGCCAGAGCATCCCTGGTGAGTCGATGCCGAAAACAGCAACCGATCTTTAGGACCCGCTCGATCCCACTTGTAACGCCAACGGCAAGCTCAATCAGTGCCCGGCTCCCAATTAAGTGGACTTGCGCAGCATACGAATAAATCGCTTTGGCAGTCAAAGATTAAGACAAAGACATATAGGAATTAGGGGTATGTTTGGTAAGTCATTAGATGCGTAATGGTCATGACACGACTGCAAACCTGTTCAATTATCCAAAAAGTGTTAGTTTCGATATTAAAATTAGGTTTTTGTGAAAATTTTGGTCTCCCTTTTTGTTAGGAAACAATTAGCATGCACCGGAAGTCAGGAGTAGTGATGGTATTAGGTTGGAACTAAAGTTCGCGCAATATTTTTCTTTCTTTGTAATTTTCGGACCGGAAAACGGGCAAGAATCAAAATGTTTTTCGAATGAACGGTGATGCAATAAAATTCTCTATTCGATGTGTGGGACGGAATCGCGTTGCTTCCCTATTAGAATTTTTTAAAGCTAGATTTAAGCGAAAATGAAAAATCGCTTCGGCCCGCCTTTACAAAACAAACTTGGCTTTCTTTTTAGGCTAATTCGGCATGCAGCTGATAGATATAACTTATTATTATAGTGATGATCAGTTCCTATGGTGACTTTATGGCGGTTCGGAAAGATGTCCGGGTCAAAAATTTGAAGTGCCCTCGAGAGAAACGCAAAAATCTTAAAAACTACTGGGGCTAAAAACCTGTAATTTTGGTCCCACATACTCATGAACCCAATAGTTATATGCAAAGAGGGAACATCGGAATCTGGCCACTAAATTTTCAGAAAGAAATTTCCAAAGTTCGATTGCGCGAACTTATGTTCCAACCTAATATTATCCAAATCTCAAATCTAATTTGCATCCGCCTAATCAAACTATCGATTTGATTTGAATAGGGTTTCAGCGCTTCAAATCAAAACGATTTGATTTGGGCTTTCGAGGTTTGAGTTCAAATCTGAAGATTTGAACGAAAATTTGAAAAGAGTAGAAAAATCAATAGCATGCTACAATAATTAGAAGGATGCTAATTTTATGATGGCATGCATAATCAAGGTTATTTCCGGTTCGCGGCAGCTTGGCCATGGCGATTTTATTGTGTTTTGAATGCCGAATGCTGAAATCTCCATAAGATTTGATTAAGAACCGGAAGCTTAGTCAAATCCTCGAGATTTGATTTGAACTCGTCCACCGGGGTTCAAATCAAATCCGCCGATTTAAAGTGAAATTTTTGCTTTCAAATATTCAGATTTGAGCTCTCAGATTTGACTCAAGATTTGATTTGAATAACCCCATCACTAGTCAGGAGAGCCTATATCAAGGGGCAGAAGAGGCTACTTTTCATTTTTTAGTATGGGGATTCGGGAAAAATATGCAACGTGAAAACTGTAATCGGTCCTAAACGGGCCCAGGGGTGAAAAAGCCGCGCAGCGGCTTTTCAATTCTGGTGTACAATAAAGAAGTTATAGCCAGAAACTTCCGGCTGGGGGGGGGGGTAAGATAAACCGTAGCCAGAAAGTCCTATTTCGTGAGTCGCGAGTATCCCAAGGGGTCGCTTTTCCGGTTTTGTAGCATTTTTATAAGTAGCAAATTTTGCTTTTCAAATCCAGCAAATCATACTTTATGCGCTTCACATGTCACACTTCACATGTCAAAGTTATTCTACACCAACTACAAACTACACAGCTCCAAGTCACACACATACAGGGACGTAGCGTAATACAGGCCCCGGGGGCCCGGCCCCCCCGAAATCGGCCGGGGCCCGAAAATTTCATAAGGGGGGACCCTTATGATTTTGATTTTCTCAAAAATTTTACTGCCTGCGGCGCTATTTTTTCACATTTTTACGGCTATTTGTAGAGCTATGCAACCTCTTTTTCAAAAATTTTTGCCTGCGGCGCTGTTTTTTTGGCAATGTTTTGAGTTTTTCGGAAAAATTTTTTGGGGGCCCCCCCCCGAAATTTTTTTCTGGCGACGCCCCTGCACACATATTGCTCATATTCCTGAGAACTCTGTGCCACTTATCGATCATATATTGGCATTTTCTGAAAGCTCGTATAGTTCATCTATCAATTATCTACAATTAATATAATACTATATCCTACTATATATAAAAAAATAGTGTTTGTGTGTGTGTAGACACTTTGCATAAAAGGCTCGAAAAAACTGGGTTATTGAGATATCAGGACGGGAAAAGCGTTTTAGGGGCCAACTGAAACGTATTTAGGGGTATTCGAAGGCGTAGATTACTGCGCGCTTATCAGATTTTTAAGAAAATGACGATTTATACCTTATTTTGGTCTTTTTAAAACATATGGAAATCTCCTCATTTGCATACGAGTCGTTAAGAAACTCATTTCGGACTTTGTCACGCTCACATTCGGTCGCTTTTGTTTTATTTAGTTGAGAGGTTGACGCTAATTCGCTATAATTATGCAAAGTGAGCAGCTTTTAGAGATACCCCGCAAAGGCCAGGGGTGAATAGCCGCATAGCGGCTTTTCAACCCTGGTGTAATCTAAAATTGATACTACCATGTAGACCTCCCGAACCCCCATTTACCCCCAAAGACACCATTTTGACCCCCATCGCAACACCCACCAAAACCCCCCAACAGACACCCCTGCCAACCCCCAATGGACCCCCACTCGAACCCCCCATTCCAACCCCCAAAGACCCCCATTGGGCAAAATTCTGGCTATTTTAAGTTAATGTTTTTAAGGTTTAAAATCGTTTCAGCCTTTTTCAACTTTTTTTTCAACACCCCTGAAAACCCCCATTCGAACACCCCGCCCAACCCTCACCCACCCCCTCGCAACCCTCTATGACCCCATCCAACCCCCACAAGTATGGGGGTAAATGGGGGGGTTCGGGAGGTC